AATTTATATCAGGCATTTAAAACATAAAATTTAATTGTATGCGTAATGTGTGCTTGTTCAATATTTAAAATAAAAATGTTATTAAAGTGAATATTTGTAGCATAATGAGGTGAAGAAAAACGAGTATTTCTTAAGCTCAGCCAATTCTATGGTGAATTGATGGCAAAATGGCGAAATATCATGATCCGCAAAGTACATGAAGTTCTTGTGGGGAAACACTCACTTTTCCGGAAAAAACATGAACTTCTTGTGCAGATACACCGATTTATTCCTAAGAAAACATGAAATTCTTTTGCAAAAACACCGATTTCTTCAGGAGAAAACATCAAGTTCTTGCCGAGAAACACTCATTTCTTCACGAGCAGACCTGAACTTGTTGTGCAGAAATACAGATTTCTTCACGGTAAAACACGAACGTCTTCCGCATGTTTTTTTGTGATGTAATCGGTGATTCTTCAGAAGCAGTTCATGTTTTCTGATGGTGAATTGAAGGCAAAATGGCGAAATATCATGATCCACAAAGTACAAACCAATAGCTGAGTTATTTTTCAGAAAGTTACCCATTGCGATACATTTTTCACCATTTTGAGAGCTGCTCTCATGTATTTCTCCGCCCCCTAATATATGTGCCGTTGAGTACTGTCGATTTGGAATTAAAGGATGGCTATCCCACTCCCTAATTAAAAGACGCAAACAAATCTAAATATGGCAGAGTTATAGCATCAGGACTAAGATATCTAGGCCAGTCACAGTAGTTTCAAGATTTCTATGTCTCAGAAGCTACTGGAATGTTTTTGAAAATCCAGAAAAAGGACTTTTCTTTCTGACAGCTTTGAACACCTTTAAAAAAAATTAAGTGAATCGAAACTTACTCAATCTCCAACAGATCCTTGGCTTCTTCGATATACTCCAAAGTATTACTTCGTTCTTGGTGATGATGGTCCGGTGATGGGACATTTGAATAGATGTATAGTGAGTGCTTTTTCGAAATCAATCAATGCCTTCCTGTAATTCTTCAAACCGTGACCATAAATTGCACCGATCCTGTTACAGAGAGCAGCGGTATCCGGCCGATCGAGACTATGAATTAATTCAATTGAGAGTGCGTTTCGGTAGTTTGTCAGAGCCATTTCATACTCCAACATCCGCGTGTAAAGATTACCCATGTTTAGTAGTATTTTTGCAAAATCGGGACGGTCTTCTGGCATCGACAGTCTAGATATTTCAGCGGCTTTACTATAGTTGATTAATGTCTCTGGATAATTCTGATATCCTTCATCGTAAATAAGAGCAATATTTGAGTAGATAACTGCAGCGTGTGCATGGTTTGAAGCGTTCTCAAGCTGACTATGCAGCGCTCTGTTGTAGTAGCTCATAGCTAGTTCGTAGTCTTCTCTTAGTCGATGTACTTGGCCAATGTTAGTTAACAATGGTATTAGAGCTGGATGATTTGATGGGAATGCAGCATTTTCATATATTTTCAATGCTTTTTCATAGTTTACCATAGCTTCCGTACAATTTTTGAAGCCCTTGACGTACACCATACCTATGCTATTATAGGTAATTGCAGTTTCGGGATGCTTCAGGTTACAAGCTAGTTGGATAGATAAGGCTCTCCGATAGTTAGTTAGAGCGAGTTCACACTCTCCTGCGCTCTGCTGTGCAAGGGCAATGTAGTTTAGTGTCCTTGCAACGTCTGGGTGGTTTTCAGGCAGTTGGCGCAGTTGAATTCCTAAGCATTCAAACATATTTTCCAATGCCAACTCGTAGTTTCCCTGATCATAGTGAATTCCGCCGATGTTAAGATATGCAGCTCCAAGTAGAATGCCGTGCTGTCCTTCTTCTCCTAGATCCAATTTTAGAACGTTCACATATTGGGACAGTGCTCGATCAAACTGTCCCTGTTGTTTTAGGACATGACCCAAACCGGTAAAAATATTGCCAAGATTATACTTATGCAAAAGTGGTTTTTGAAGTTCGAGTTCTAGCGCTTTTGAATAATTTAAATAAGCGTTCTTGTAATTACCTACTCCTTCACTACTCAGTTTCAGTTTAACTGTCCACAGTTTTTCTTGCTCATCGCTCAGAATATCCACAATTTTGAAGACACTTCCGAGCATGAATAGTATTTCGTGTTCTTCCTTGTCGAATGCACTTCGCTCGGTGATGTCACCAAATGGTTTTGCACCCTCCAAACAAGTATCAGCTTCGATTTCGAACAAGATACTTTCTTCTGTCGAATTCGTTCTGTTGTTTCCAGAACCAGCATATATTTCACACGCCATCTGTCTGCTTGTCGTAGTTGACAGAAAACTATTCATGGAAATATATTTACCAACACTAGCTTTCATCTTTTCGAGCTCTGCATGTGATATGAGTTGTTCGCGATAAACATGAATGATCGTGGATATATCCTTTTTGAAAGTTTTCTGTTCCAATTTCAGTTGATCGAAAATATCGTGGACAAAAAAAGACAAGGTGACTAGAGTTTTTTCATCTCGGCATCTTAGAGCTCGATTTAGAATACGATAGAGAAAGGAATCGCGTGTGTACCAATAGAGTGCAGCTTGAGGGTCATAGTATTCTATCAACTCATCAATGATATTTGAATCATTTCCATTTCCATTTCCATTATACTGCTTTTTACAGTTTTCGATGAGACGATTGAAATTTGACTGATGAGCTGTCTCCTGCATTCTCAGTAAAACTTCAACAATCAACTGAGACCACCTGAAGTCACTATCAAGGTTCTGATGTGAGTATTCTCTCGAAGATGTCACTGTTCTTACATCTACAGTTCTGATACTTGATGGACTGAAGACAATGATGTTTGAGCAGTGCTTTCTGCTGATCTTACTGCGTCTTATCTGATCATTAGTGATTCTATCCACTAACTGAACTCTGCCAGAGGTAACTAACTTGATCTAAACAAAAAGATTTTTGCCTCGCACGGCACACGGATGAGTAGATTTTAAAAACATCTTTTACTTACCTTTTCGTATTTTTCACCCAGTACTTCATGTTCTCTTACATCTAAGCAGTAGACATAGATAGCGGCAAGCTGTGCTAAACTATGCACAGCTGGCACCAAACACTTTCCTATTGTACCCGATACAACTAAAACGATCTCGGAAGTCGTCTGATGTTCCACATACAGTTTACATAAATCGGCTGATTCAAAGGTTTTCAAAAAATTAATTGACTGACGTAATTCTAATTGTGTCTGCTTGTGAAACAGTTTTGCAAGAACTTTCCATCTGAAAGGCAATGCAAAGTTGTAAAGTTGAAATAAACTGAGCAATTTGCCTCACTCTCTTGAACAGAGCGGCCGTCCCCATCCGTACAGATTCTTCTGTGCTATAGGAACAGTTCTGACAACAAACCCGTCATGTATGGTTTGTTCTTCTATGCGGCTGTTTCAAAAAAGTTGTCTGATGACAGGGTCAATTCTCTTCAGTTCTAAAAACAGGTAAAAATTTCTCATTTCATGTCACCTACTTTTCTCAGTCTCCTTCGAAGCACTATAATAAAATGTACAGACATGTGTCATGTTGTAATATTTTGTTTCTTTTTTTCAATCGTAAAACTCTATAAAATGCACACATTAATATGAAGAGAGAGAGGAGAACAGAAAACATTTGCTTCAGGTACAAAGGCCGTTTTTTATTTCACTCCCACAGCACAGTAACGTGTCAAAGGCCAACATACATCGGCGGAAAACGTGCAGAGAACCGGAGGTGAGCTGTCATCATTAACATTAAATGAACGTTTATTTTTACTTTAATGTTGTTTCTTCCAGTAATTTTAGACTATTTACACGAAAAAATAGTGGAGCAGAGACAGAAAAGCCTGTTCTACATTTTGGTGTTATTCAGTTATTCACGGGAGTCGACTTAAGCCCACGCTAACTTTAACGTTTTGGTTTAGCGTAACGGTAATGTGACTGGCCTAACGAGAAGCTTTGTTTTTTCAATGGATAGCCCGCCCTTTATCATGAACAGGGTTCTGTTCTTCCGCCTCATACAAAAAGATTTGCTATGCGAATCGCATACTTTTCATCGTTAAAAACTACAGCGTCAGAGAAAACTTTTTAAAAGTTCCATGAATCAACAGAAGAGTCGTTTGTTTCAGTGGCAAGGAGGCGTGGATTTCGAATTACTGCCTCTGTTCTACTCGTAGTTTGAGCTAAAAATGAACAAATAAAAGTTTTCAGACCATCGTCATTCTTATTTTAAATTAAGCCAATTTTGCCAACAAAACATATCATACGCAAGACCATGTTTCAAAGTTTTTATCTGCCTCGCACCTGTTGCTGTTGTTGGTATTGACACTCTTTTCTTTGTTTCACTCAGTTTCAATGGTAAAGTAATGGCCAGAACTACAAGAGCGACCAGAACCGCCATAGTTACTGCAACGAGACACACTAACTTCCTCATCGAACGTGTTCTTTTTTTAATAAAGTTTTTAGGAACGACGCAGAATTGTGTGAATTTATAGAGGTATGAGTCTTCTGCTACTCCAAAGGGTTTTGGGTATCTCAGGACTGACTAAAAAGAAATGTCTAGTTTCAAATACAGTTTCTTATGTCCTAAAAAATGATTAACCGACTCTTGGGTACCTCGACTCTTGATTACCTCACATCCACGCGGAAAAGTTCACGAATTCTTTTTATCTGCTCACTTCGCAACTGCTCGAGAGTCGGAGGGCAAGAGGAGAGTGCTCAAGCGTCATGTGAGAGAATCACCTTTGCCATATAGTAGTAGCTTCCAGTTTATCTATCACATCTTTTTCAGCTGGAGGAGTCACCCGCAGAAAGTTTCTAGGCTTCTAGTCCGATCCTTCTCAAATGCACAATCTGTCTGTAGTACCATTGAAAATCTATTGATTGAGGAGAATGATTATTTCAGAAGCGTCGCCCTCGATAGTATTCCCATTTTGAATTTAATTGTTCTAATCGTGAAACTAACTTTCTATAAAATGAACAACCTGTACAAGCTGAGCAGTTAGTTACAGTCCAAAACAGGGGCGTCTATCCTGTGGGAGTTTGAGGTGCAATGTCCCTAGAGAACGTACTTGTGCTCAAGTATTTGGGACAAGCACTCCGCTTACATAATGAAGCAGGTACTTGTCTTTTTTCCAGAAGTAAATTTACTTGTAAGTACTTGTCCAGCGTGCAAGTACTTGATTTTTCACTAGACAATACTTGTTCAAGCGCTTGTCAAGTAAAACTGCAAGTACTTGGATTGTTTTCAAGGTAATATTATTCGAGTGTTTTTCTATTGTCGCTTAATAAATCGGTGTATCTGCACAAGAAGTTCATGTTTTTTACGGAAAAGTGAGTGTTTCCGCACAAGAACTTCATGTTTGAAGTAATCGGTGTTTCCCCGCAACCAGTTCAGCTTTTCTTCTGAAGAAATGCGTGTTTCCGCTCAAGAAATTCCTGTTTTCCCGTGTGGATATCGGGGTATCTGCACAAGAGGTTCGTGTTTTCCCCTGTGGAAATCGGGGTATCTGCACACGAACTTCGTGTCTTCTCCTGAAGAAAGCGGTGTTTTTACACAAGAATTTCGTGTCTTTTCCTCAAAAAGCGAGTGTTTCTGCACAAGAACTTCATGTTTCTTGTGAAGAAGTGAGTGTTTCTCCACAAGAAGTTGATGTTTCCTCCTGAAGAAATCGGTGTTTTTCCAAAAGAATTTCATGTTTTCTTAGGAATAAATCGGTGTATCTGCACAAGAAGTCATGTTTTTTCCGGAAAAGCGAGTGTTTCCGCAAAAGAAGTTTATGTTTTTTCCTGAAGAAATCGGTGTTTCTGCACGAGAAGTTCGTGTTTTTCCGTGAAGAAATCTGTATTTCTGCACATCCAGTTCAGGTTTTTTTCTGAAGAAATGAGTGTTTCCGCGCAAGAATTTAATGTTTTCTTCCGAGTAAATCGGTGTATGTGCACTAGAAGTTCGTGTTTTTTCGCGAAGAAATCGGTGTTTCTGCACAAGAAGCTGGTATTTTTTCGTGAAGAAATGGGTATTTCTGCACAACAAGTTCAGGCTTTCTTCTGAAAAATGAGTGTTTCCGCAGAAGACTTTAATGTTTTTGTGTGAAGTAATCGGTGTTTCTGCAGAAGCAGTTCAGGATTTCTCCTGAAAAAATCGATATTTCTGCACAACAAGTTCAGGTTTTCTTCTGAAGAACTTTGTGTTTCTGCACAAGAAATTCCTGTTTTTTCCTGTGGAAATCGGGGTATCTGCACACGAACTTCATGTTTTCTCCTGAAGAAATCGTTGTGTTTGCAAAAGAAGTTCCTGTTTTGCCCCGTAGAAATGGGTGTTTCTTCACAAGAACTTGGTGTTTTCTCGTGAAGAAACCGGTTTATCTGCACAAGAAGTTCCTGTTTTTTCCTGAAACCAAGATGATCATTGGGAAAAGGCGATCAATTTCCATAGGGCCGTAGGCCTTTTGAAACAAGTATATGATTAGAGCCAGCTTAAAAATTGATACTTATGATTGTACTTTTCATTGAAAAATTGACCTATAATTCAGTCATGCATGTTTTTTCCCCTAAGAATCAACTAAAATGCAACACAAAATACATGGCTTCGCAGCTCTCGAATCGCTCAATCCAAATATCTACTTGGTTTTTTCCGGAAGGCATCAGGTAAAGCGTAAAGAGAGTTATGCCCCGTTTTCGTGACGGAATTAATTCAGACATGAGCTAGATTTACGAGGCCATTCGGGTAACCGGAACTTCGCCAATACGACTTTCGCCAACAGGACATTCGCCAATGGCGAAAGTGCAGGTGGTGTATTGGCGAAAGTACAGTGGACATTCGCCAATTGGCGAAAGCGCAGGGGGTGTATTGGCGATATTAACATAGGATACATGTGAGGAGTGAAGCTAATGTTGTTAGAATATATATATTAATACGTAAGTGATTGAATTTGTCCGTTTAGTATTTAGACTTCTTCACCGTTCTGTATTGAGAAAGTTAAAAATTGTTATTGCTTAGTTGCAGTAAGATTTGTCTCGAAAATTGTGCGGCACAAAAAAGAATCTGTTAGTGTTGTCTATTAACTAGGAAACTCTTCATGATTTTTGCGCTAGAAAATTCACTTTCAGTTTTATTCTGAAGAGAGTATTCCTTAAAAAAAGGAGAATGCAGAGTTGAATTTCTAAAACGTCTGCAGTAGATGCAAAATGATGACTTGATTCTAAAGGGTAGGAAAGCATTAAACTTCTCATACGACACAAGAGCGATTGAAACTGAAGAAAGTTTGACGAAAAAAATCCTTTTCAGCCCAAGTCCCTCTCGATCTGCATCCTCTTGTGCCTCATCGATTTTTCTCAAATGAACAAGTCTTAGCTGGACATGAAGCCGTTTAAGAAAATGACTTTATTTGTGACTTGAAAACTTCCGACCTGTCCCAATCGTAGAAGAGTGGGGTGTTAGTCGAGAAATTTAATTTCAGTAATAACAATAAACATTACGCAACAGCTATTTACTAACAAACGCTGTGTTGATTTCAATTTACAACTTTTAAATAAATCTTTCACTTCGACTAAAACAAAGCTCACAGTTTTACATGATAATTTCAGACTATATTAACATGTATATACAGATAAAAAGAGTCATCTCGCTTTAAGGTATTTCTCGGGACCATGTAGTTGTATAATGTTAACAGAAAACGGATTAATTAGTCTTGCTGACATCCAGTTCGTCTTTCAGCTTGGTTTCAATAAAACTTCGATCACAATTAGCATCAGATAATAACTTAGTTCGAACTTCTAAAAAATTCGCCTTTAGAATAACGCTAAGGGACGCAATGCGCGAATCGAAGAAAGGCATGAGTTGTGAAAAACCTTTAATAATGTACAATATTAATATTCTTCCAAACCTGGCAAAACCTTGCGTGGAGTGGGGTGCAGAACGAAAGCCATTGCCTGAATCCGTTTAATTAAAATTACTATTACTTGAAAAGACTGATTCAATGGGTTTGAAAAGAAACTTTTTTGAGCTTTTTCCGACGTGCGCATCACGTTTTTGATAAGAGACCGCCGGGTGTTTTCCATCATTTCCCCAAAAGTTAGACGACCGTCCATGGTAGTACCCGGGGTCTACTTCACGAAAGCGTAGAGAGCCCTTCAGCCAAACCATCTTCAGTTGCAACCACCTCCTTGTAAAACCGCCGATGGCGTTTTGTCTATTCTGAAGTGAATATACCTAACAACTCTTCTCCTAATGCGCCGAAGCATTACATTGTTGAAGAATAGTTTAACATGATGTTTCTCTGATCGTACATTAAATACATAACAAGAAAAAAAAAGAGAAATATTAATAATTTTATTTGTCTTGGCAGATGTAATAAAAAATGAAACTTTTGTTTTAATTTATCTGGATATAATTGCTTATATAATTTATTATGAAGTAAAATAGATTTTTGCAATTGTAACACTATTTGATCATCTGCTTCTGATGCCCATATCAAATTCCCAATATCGACTAAGAGTAATATTGCATCATAAGCTGAAAATGTGGGATTTTTGTTTACATTGCATCAAGGGGTAATCCTATAAGTAAAACAACAGAAGACTACAGTTGCTTTCGTATACCTGTCGTTGAATTTCTTAATTCTTCTATTCTCATGTTTAAACATGGTTTTGACAAGTTTTCACTCACATCAAACGAAAATTCATTAAAGGAGATGACACAATAAAAGACTCGGGTCTTCTATTCTGTCCTTAAGAATAAAGATTTAGGGAGGTCTTCTCTTGTGTAGGAAATATTTATTATGAATTTTGCAAGACTTACCAGTAAAAAACTGAGGGATTTTGTGACCTTGAAAGAAGAAGATAAGTACATAGTCGAGCATGCTAAATCTAATGGCAGCGTTTATTTTATCTTATTTTACGTTAGTCTGAGTCTTTCAAGGTCACTGGACGCCACTGTGTGCCAGTCCTGGTGCTGCATGGAAATCAGATACCACGGCCAGATCACTCAAAATCAAAGTCTCGCTTGGTTTCCATTTTGAAGAGGACAGTTTAGGCTAGTTATTCACAAAAAAACGAATCTATTGCTACTTTATCGCTTAGAGTTACAAAACGGTTTTCTAGAGATCTTCTAGAAAACCGGTCACTGAGAAGTACTTTCAACTTTATTTTAGTTATAAAAAGATAATTTAAAGTCTTGGTTATCTAACCGCAAAAATCAGAAGTCTCTATCGCTTTTCGTTCTTCAGTTATTCAAAAACCACTGACCGGCATATGAAAATCCATCAGAAGTGAACCTATTAGAAGTACTCTCGGTGGAACTCGCACATAGAACCGCGTTAATAACAGAATTAACTTGTTGTTGATATTGATTTCTTCACGAGGAAACATGAACTTCTTGTGGAGAAACAAGGATTTCTTCACGAGGAAACATGAACTTCTTGTGTAATCATTAAAAAGCAAGGAGGTTGGTAATTCGATGTGCAATACAGAGTTGTAAGCGAGAATTTTATGATCTTTTTCCGAAAACCTTGAAGAAATATCAACATCAGTGAAGCAATAGATTGAGACAAAGTGTAATTTAGTTTTTTCAGAAAAACGTTTGCTACTGGCACGAAAACGTTTTGTATCGGTTGATGTATCCACTGATCTACTAGCAAAAAAATAAATGATACCGACCAGTGCGGACCGATAGCAAATGTTAAACCGAAAAGGGTATCACTGTGCCAAGTTTTGGATCGGCTAGAAACTGGAAAGAATGAAAAGCTCGTTGCGACGGTTCGAGTTCTGTGGATCCGATATTCTGAAGGTCTGTGTAACAACTCTCATCTTTGTCTTTGCAATCAGTATTATCAATCAACTATTTTTCATCCAGAACAGTACCGGACAGGCAATTCGATGAACTTCTAGAGGTGAATCAAGAAGACAGATTGACCTCGTTTCCTATGTGGTTGGGTTTAAAGGAATTTTGAAATCAACGTGTTTACAGGAGCTTTGTAAAAAGCGTCTCTTTTCTCACCTTCTCCAGCGAAAAACTGTTGAAATAATAATTTCTAGCATTTTGTAGTATCTTTTTACTTTACGAAAAGCCGATGTAATGTTTATTTACAGCTTTAAAACTTTCTCGATGTGTATTGAATTTTCAATAGAGATTATCTTTATGGAATTAAGATAGAAAAAATGTTTTCGAAAAAACTCCAGCGAAATTTGATTTAATGTAAAATCTGCCTACTTTCATGTCTGTCTCTGTGTGTGACAGCATTTTTATATTTCCTTTTTTTGTAGGAGTACGCAATTATGAGAGTCACAAGTGATGGTATGGAAATTGTTAGAAAACAAAAGGTTGATGAATCAGTACTTATTATTCGAGGAAAAGACAGGGGTAGGGCAGCATGGCATTATATATTAGTTCCATTTCATAAACTAGCGCATCTACGTGAACAACCAGAAGGCTCAAATATTGACATAACGCAATTTGGTGAAGTTCTCACATATAAAGACGAGAATGGAGTAGTCCATCCATGTTCTGGTTGGGGTGAAGATCCGCCTGAAAAAGTTCAGCACTGGATCGTTGAGTTTGAGGAGAGTTTTTAGTGTGTGATCCAAGTAAATAAAATTTCAGATTTTTATTTTTTATTGCTGGAACTATGTACTGATGTTGTAAATATAAAGATTAAATCTAACGAAAATAGACATTCTAATCAGAGTCCATATAAAAGAATTTCAACCCCACAAGTCAGAAGGTTACCCCGCTACACAACTGAAAAACCTGTACATGCTCTAGTCAGACTGGTCTGTTCTTTTATACTGACCATCTCTTTTCTTTATTATTCCTTTACTGTTACCTGTTCCTTTG